TTCCCACCGACGGCCCAAACTAATCCTGGCACTTGATATGCTTCTCCCTGCAGCGCGCACACATAGTCACCCTCTGGCCCCTTGGCCTCTCCACACGGCAGTCTATCCCAGCCCTTCGACACGCCCGGCACGGCCCGTTGGGTCGTGGGACCCCGTTCGCTTGGATGTTCCGGGCCTTGGTCTCTTGCCTCCTCGTCTTGGCAGTCACTGGGCGGGAGCGGTTGCGGGGCGGCGAGGGGGTGACGGTGGAGGGGGAGGCGGAGGGGGGGGGGGAGGCGGAGGCTTCCTGGGCCGGGGCCGGAGAAGGAGAAGGAGAAGGGGCTGGAGAAGGAGCGAGGGCGGGAGAAGCGGAGGCGGAGGCTGCCCGGACCGTGGACGGGGACGAGGAATGGGTCGGGAGTCGAGCCGGGGCCGGAGAAGGGCGAAGGGTCGGAAGTCGGGCAGGGGCAGGGACCGGGGAACGGGCAGGAGGGATCGGTGAGGGTGAGGGCGCGAGCCCCCGGGCGCGGCGGGAAAGGCCGCCGAGGATTCTCGCCGCTTCGACGGCTTCGGGCGAGGGGTTGGGCTCGGCGGCGGCGTCGGCGGGTGCGTCGAGAGCATCGGCGGGGGCATCGGGCGCGGCTGGGGCGTTGGCGGGGGCGTTGGCGGTGTCGACCACCGGGCCGTCGTTCGCCCGCTTCAGGGCCTCTTGGGCCACGAACCGGAGCCACAAGTGCCCCCGCTGCTCGGAGATGGAGGAGGCGGAGAAGGAGTTGGCGGTGATGTAGGCAGACATTTTTTTGGATTTTCTTTTTTTTTTTTTTTGAAAAAAAAAAAAAGAAAAAGAAAAAGAAAAAGACAAAGTCGAGGAAGGAGACTTGGACGTGTGAGAGTTGGGTCGTGACTGGTTCTTTGTCTGGTCGTGCTCGATGGGTGATGTCTGCTGCTGAGGAGTGATGTGCGAGAGAATGGGTGGTTGGACAGAGGGCGCGGTCTCACAATTTATACAGTTCTCCGGGAAGGTATACGCTCCAGAAGCCCGCGCTCTTCTTCGCTACGCATGCAACTGCTTCTATTCTTGTAGTTTTCTTTCTGCGTTAGCCGAAATCTGTCTCAGAGTCGCCGAGAGAAGCGTCAGGTGTCCGCTGAGATGTTGGGTCCGCGTCTCTTAGACTGCAAGCAGGGGCGTATATTATGCTGTGCGGGTGTCCCCCACTCCTCACAGCCCTCGGGATGGGCTCATTCTGGCTAGATAGGGTCTAATTCTGCGAGTCCCGGGTGCATGTACTGTATACTTTGACTCTAGAGCACACTAGTTTCAGGACGATCTGGTGATTTGGTGAGCCAGTTCTTGCCCATGACGTTGGCGACACCTATTTTCGGGACGTGTGGGTAGTCACAGGCAACCAGATTCATGTGGGAAGGCGCTCACGATCCTCCGGGCTTGCATGGAAAGAGGCGTCGTTCCCCAAACCGCCACGAAATCGGCTCTGGAAGGCATTGCGTCCCCATTTCTGCAGCTAGCCGACTTCTAGCCCACTGGTGAAAGTGCGGTACCTCTAGACTCCATGGGCGGAAGCAGCACACAGTTATATCCAGCACACACAGTCCCATCCCGCAGAAGTTGGCGCCCGACGCACTCAAGGTCCCGCCTTAGCTTCCACGGGTGTTTCTGGCTGGCCACGGGTGTTTCTGGGTGGCCACGGGTCCGGGGGAAGGGCAGGAGATGTGCGTGTCCTTCGACCTCTATGTCACCCATGGTCGCCTTTTCCACGCCGGGTTTCTCACATGGCAAGAGGATGGAGTCTAACGTGTCCTGCCAACCACTCGGGAAATACCAAGCGTCATCCTCCCATCTTCGAACTTGCCTGCCCCAATAATTCGAAAATGTGGTGAGAATTTGTTGTTTAGAGTGGAATAGTAAACATCCCGATTTTGCGATTTAGAGCCCGATAACAAAGGCCCAAGGGCGGCCGGCGCAGGGAAAGCGTTAATCCCGGTCCGAACATTTACATAGTCCATCTTACATGTATATCGCGGCAGAGTGTGGGCACTTTCCCTCAAACACTCTCATAGGTCCGGACCAACAACCGTTAGCGGAGGACTACGTGCACCTCGTTGCGTCCAAATTTGCCTCCATGAGGTTATTTTTCACCGCTAATGTCCCGCAGAGGAGTCTTGGTATCCTGGGACACCGCTTTGATTTTCCATGATCCCTTCGCTACTCGTGATCCCAGCCAGGTTCCCTTGCTCCCCCCAACCCGTCTTGCCGTTCGACCCGGAGAGCAAAGATCACCACGTCCTTCGTCTGGCTTTACTATACCGCCATGCTCGCGGCATTATTTTGCAGATTCAGTGACAATTTTTCAAAAAAGTATCTAAATCGAAAATATTCCCAGACAAAAAATCGAAGTTAGACTGTGTAAAATTCTTTCAGCCGCGTCCCGAGTCCTTCTGCTTGCTCGTTTCCTTGTGACTCCACCTGAAGACATAATCTGCCGCGTGGCATTCCACGAAACAGACCAACACGGCTGTGAGAACAGAGGAGACTATCAAAGCGCACCATGGTCCCGAAATAAGTCGGTATCATAGACTGCGAGCAGAAAAGAAGAAAGCGGGTCCTGGAAACTACTGGAACCGACTGGAAGCTGCCGGAAGAAATTGAAGCTGTGCTAGCCACTGCGTTCGCAAATAGTGGCCTCCGGGCATATTGCAAGCACCGATGTCCGTCCCCGGCGTCCCGTGACCAAGGGTACCTTTTTCTTTAGTCCCGAGGCAGAGATGTTAGACAGACGAGTGTCTTGACATTGCAAACTCAACTCCCCACTCCAAGAGAGATGCGGCGCCTTCCACATGAGAGAATCGAGGGTGAAGTGAGGTTGTGGGGTACGGGCCACACATGTAAGTCCATCCCGGTCCCGAGAGCCTTTTCCTCCAAACACCACACCATAGCGACCACAAGGATCCCGAACCCTCACCGGAGGCCACAAGATTACAAGATTCGATTGCCCCTCAAATCCCGACTGTGACCATAGTCGCGCAAGCAAACAAGACCCTATTCAGGGCAGTCAGGAGCCAACGAGGCAACAACATCTCACAAGATTGCCGTTTACGGAATTCTATCCGGCATTATGACACTTATTTCACGTTCTTTTTAATACGAGTATCTCGGGGGTATATCGTTCACGGGATACCCACTCAAAACACCAGACATATGGATCTATGGATCAGTTCTCACCACATCCGACAACTGATGGACTTGTAAGATTTTGAAGGTGGAAAAGGTCGGCAGAAGAGCCCTCGATGGATAGTATGATGTGGTGAAGCCTGACAGGCAATGCGAAAGACGAGAAAACTCATATCGTGGGTAGCAAAACAGCGAGATGAGAACAAGACCACTTAGTGGCCCGGTCAGGGTTAGGGTAAGCGGTGTCTTGGAACGGAACCTGAATAAGGGCGCAGCCCTCTCACTCCGTCTAAAGGTTTGGCATTCATTTTGTGTTCTGGTAAGACTACAGGGACTCTGAAGAAGCTGATTCGGTTCGCAGGGGTCCTTTGTGTTGAACATGGGAAATAGAAAACGAGGCGGATCAAAGGCCTTTGCAGACTCGGCTGTCCCTTCATACGGCCGAGAGAAGACCTCGAAGCCCTCTTATACTTTCCACACCCATTGCATCCATCTTACCTCTCGAGTATCTGTACCAGCACCACATAGCAGACATATAAACGCCGCGTTTTCAAGTCAGGGCTGTCAGGCCAGGGTTGGGGTCCGGGTCCGGGTTCGGATTCGGGTTCGGGTTCAGATGTCTAAGCGGCTTCGCCGTCAGCCGGATTTGGGCGGTTCAGCGACCATTCCACTTCCTGTCTTCTACCTACCTATCTTTTAGTTAAAGTAGCCAGAATTGAAGGTATCGGCATGTTCACATACAACGCCCGCGCTACCTGTAGCCACCTCGTCACACCACCGGTGCTCAGAATCTGACAAATGACCAGCCCCCTTCACCAGGGCACTCAGCGGCAAGGAAACATCTCACACATCCTCGAGCCCTCTAGTTACCTTCTAACAGGGACGGCGTCGCGAATGTTAATGTGAATTTTTTGCATAGATACGTGGCAGTTGTCTGTTCCGGTGCCCCCGGTCACGGTCCATGTCAGGTTCTAATGTCTAATCTCGACCCGGCTTCGTGAATACCATCCTGGAATCATCATATACAACGATGAGCGATGTAGTATGCCGCTATTTAAGTGTCTATATCAAAACTATCAAAAAAAAGGAGCCCCTACTATCCCGATTCAGCCAATCAGGCCTATCTACAATGGACGACGCACTCTGAAAAAAAAAATCCCCCCCTGGAGTATCTTGAAGATGAGCTCCCGCGGGCACTGCGACGACTTCAAGCAACAAGATCCTTTCAAGGTTGTGTAGTGAGTTCCCAAACGCCATGGATACCTGGTATGTTTCGGAGAAGGAATCAGAGGGGAACGGTTGGACTGAGTCTTCCAAAAGTGTGATAGTTTCCAACGCAGCAGCTATTCGATCTTGATGGCAGCTTTCAACGAATGCTTCATAAAAAGGAGGAAACCTTGGGACTTTGTGCCGCCGTAGGAGGAGGGAATCTTATGACTGGTGTTAACAAGTCAGGAAATATACATATGTCTTGCGAGTTGGACGTTTGTGGCTTTGGCGAGACAGGAAGAAGAAGACGGGGACTTTGGTTCCCATTGGAGGTATGCCCGCCGTGTCAAATAAATGGCAACGAAAAAAAAAAAGAATTCCTGCCAAACGATGGACAGAAACATTGGACGGGCCGGGATTCGAACCCGGGTCTTTCAATGAACGCTGGATGTATATATAGAAAACAACGCTGAAATCCGCTTAAGGAAGAAAGCACGCTCAGGGAATGCGCTGACCACTACGCTACCCGCCCGTTGGATTTTTGTTGAAGGGGTTAGTGTGTCACGGACTTATATACCTTGTTGCTCGCAACGCAGATGTAAAAAAAACAAAAAAATAATGAGCTTGGGCGGGCTGGGGTTCGAACCCAGGTCTTTCGCTAAACGCTGAATAGAACACAATGAAGAGAACAAACGCTGAAACGCTTAGGAACGCGCTGACCACTACGCTACCCGCCCGTTGGGGTTTTCGTTGAAGATGGTTATGTGTCACGAACTTATATACCTTGTTGCTTGCAACACAACATGTAAAAAAAAAGAAAAAGAATAGAGAGGCTTGGGCGGGCTGGGGTTCGAACCCAGGTCTTCCAATGAACGCTCTGATAAGGATCGATTTTGAATAGAAAGCAACGCTGATTATTACGCTCAGGGGATGCGCTGACCGCTACGCTACCCGCCCTTTGGGTCCTCGTTGTTGAAGGGGGTAGTGTGCCACGGACTTATATAATTCGTTGCTTCCAACGACCGGAGTTAAAAAAAAGAGAGGTTTGGGCGGACTGGGATTCGAACCCAGGTCTTTCAGTGAACGCTGTTCGTGTATGAAGAAGAGAATAAATCAACGCTATTATTAAAATTACTTAAGAAGAATACGCTCAGTGAATGCGCTGACCAACTACGCTACCCGCCCTGTGTTTTGTTGAAGGTGGCACTGTGTTACGAACTTATGAGCTTCGTTTCGTGCAAATAAAAGACGCAAAAAAGAGAAGCTTGGGCGGGCTGGGACTCGAACCCAGGTCTTTCAACGAACGCTATTTAAAGGAGAAAGATGACGAATCAACGCTGGAAATCGCTTGGGAAAGAGAGAGATACGCTCAGTGAATGCGCTGACCACTACGCTACCCGCCCCTGTATTTCGTTGTGAAAAGGTAGGTATGCTTTGAGATTATATGCCCCCATTGCTTGATTACGCAAGTAAATAAAAAAAAGATGTCTTGGGCGGGCTGGGATTCGAACCCAGGTCTTTTCGCTAAACGCTGGAGAGAGAAGATGATGAAGAAAACACAAAAACGCTGAAACGCTTAGGAATGCGCTGACCACTACGCTACCCGCCCCTGGGTTTGTGTTGAGAAGTGCAGTGTGTTCTGGAATTATATACCCCGGTCCCTTGGCGCAGATCGGCTTTTACATTGTCATTGTCTCTGGAAAACGAATGTGCTTATATGGAGCGAGGAGGCTGGCTGGCTTATATATACCCAAATCAGCAACAAGTCCAGACATCTGAAATGTCAGATTCTGGAGCACCGGCGGTGTGATGAGGTGGCTACAGGCAGCGTAAGCATTGTGTGAGCATGGCGAAACCTCCACCTCCCATTCTTCTAGGCAGCGTCGTCGAGAAAGGAGTAGTGTAATGCCACGGACATCGGCCAGAAAGGCCATAGGGCGGAACCGGTCAAGAAGGTGAGGTCGGAAAGGGCGAGTTAAACACCAACACAGCACAGCCATCATATGCACGAGACTGTAGTTCGCTGGCATGGAATACATGGCTACGACAACTAAAACCAAAATCATACCCCCGCTGGACTCTACCCTATAAAAAATCTATATTTTTCTCGCAACGCCCAACGCCCCAACCACATGTCCGATGCCAGACCAAATACCGCTTGCGCCGCCATGTCCCGTGACGTCGTATAGCAGTCGTTACTTGTAGAGGCTTCTACGCTAGATACCGGTAGAGGGATTGCTCGCCCTCTACGCGTTCCAGATACTCCCGCGCCAGCAGATCCTCGATCCGCCTTTTGATCAGCGAGACCTCAGGCTTGAAGCGACTGGACAGCTGAGTGATAACATCTGTCGTGAGCTGCGTATGTCTGAGCTCTTTTCGTGATCTATGAGTTGTTAGTTAGCGCCAGGACCGAAAAAGATGAATGACTCACTTCATGATTCGCACGATTGCTGCGTCTATTATGTGTGACCGCGTCTGGTCATTCTTCTGCTCTGTAACCTTGCGCTCCTCCTCGCCCTCGACCTTGGACAGGCTGGCAATTGTCGGAGCCTTGATCTTGATAGCTTTGCTCGCGAACTGCGCATTGAACGAGAACCTGTCCGTTGACTTGACCGTTTTAGTGGCGGGTTCCTTGACCAACACGCGTGTTCTCGGCGCTATCGAGAGCGACGCGAGCGTCCTCGTGAGGTCGGATATGGGTATGTTTGTTTTGGCCTGGATCTCCTCTAGACTTAAACTCTCACCCTCGGCGAGGTCGTTGAACAACATGAGTACCACCATACCGTACGTCGATACATTTAGCTCATACCGCCGTTCCTTGCTGAGTGGCCCGCTCTCTTTCCCGGGAACCTTGGGAAAGACGCACTTGATGTCTGCAGTTCCGGCCGAGCCGACCCAGGTGAGAACTCTCCCGCTCCGATCCTTAAGGTAGTACTTCAAAAAGCTCTCCTGCAATCTCTTAATCACAGGAGGATAATTGCACCCCCCCTTGGATCCCTCATCCTGCGAGGAGCCACGTCCCATCACCTCAGGAGGCCAGTAGTTACTGGTTAGGACGTGGATGGACAGATCAACCTTCTTCGTGTCGACATCACCGAGCTGCCGGATGTGCTCACGGTAGCCTTCACCGAGATCCTTGGAAAGCTGCATGTCTTTGAACATACCCTCAAACTTGGCGGTAAAGTGGTTGCCCATTTCCGTCTTCATGCGAGATACCATGTCCTTCTCGATATCGATCTCGGACTTGTTGTGAAGAAGCCTCCGGGCGAGGTGTTTCTGATAGTACCGCTCAAACATGTCCCTGTCTGAAAGATAGGGCAGCAAAACGATGGCCTTGTCCAGGATACCGTCCACTACGACCTCTGACATGCTCCGGGCGCCCCTTTTCAGAGTGTCGTCGATGAAAAGAGACACGTACTCGGAACTCCGGTTGAACATGTTGATGAAGTCGGTAAAGCTTTTGGAGATGGCTGACTGCAGAATAAGATCCTCTTGGAAACACTCCTGCCACAACCGGTCAAACTTATCCTTGAGCTTTAGGACCTCGTCGACCCATTTAATCGCTGCTGCTGTCTGCTGGGCAGCGGCGTTGAGTGGTTGGGCTTTGCCCTTCTCCGCACCGTCGACGGCATCATCGGCGTCGGCCACTCCCACCGCAGGTACCGAGAAATCAGTGCTCTTGAGCGTCTTTTCGATCTCCGACCCGAGATCTGTGACTCTATTCTGCAGCGTCGCTTTGATGGGCTCCATCGACGGGTCAACACGCAAGATGAGTCTGTAGAGAATAAACAAATCCTCGACCCGATCATTGTCGATCATGCTCTTCAGGCCGCTAGCCTCCATACTCAAGAAGCCGTCGAGCTGAGCTAGGACCATTTCCTTCTCGATGACTTTCTCAATCTTGGCTTTGGTAAGGATGGACAAGGACGTGGTGCAGCGAATCGCCTCTTCCTCCAGCCGTCTCTTAGTATGCCGGAGCCATGTACTTGCATCTGACTCTCGGAGAAGCTTCCCGCACTCTTTGCGGTAGAAGACGGCGCTTGCGTCGATGTACTTGGGTTCGAAGACAGTCAGGTAAAGCTTCTGGTCCGGGATCTCATCGTTCGTCTCGTAAAGGTCCTCCAGCATGGATGTGATGTTGCGTAGCAGGTTGCAATCGATAATTTCCCCTTCCCGCTCCATGTTGATCAGATCGAGAATCACGGCGTTCAGAATGTCAAAGACGACAAACTCCTGGCCAACCTGCTGCACGTTGCCCAGCGTATTGCGGAGGACGTGGTCGCGGAACAGGCCAATGGTAGTAGCAAACACCGTCGGCAACCCGGCATCCGAAATGTAGGCTCGATCGAGGTACATCATAATATCGGCAATCATATTCATAGACATGTTGTGCTCGACCCACGCATCGCGGATGCCCCTGAGAAACTTCTGGCCCATCTCGCGGCGCTCGTGCAAGCTGGTATCCTCGGCCTGGACGAGGGCAACGTTGACCAGGTTGGTCGTTATGAGCTTAGATATGCGTGGCATGATGTGGTCCCGGAACCAAGCCTCCTCGAAGCTCTTGACACGCTCGTACAAGACATCACCCTTCTTGTTGACGACGATCTTGTACGACGCTCGGTAGAGGTTCTCGAACGAGAGGCGGCCGGCATCTTGCGTGTGGATATTGGTGAGGGCGTCGCGAAGGATTTCCCAGCACGGTTCGAAGTCATCATGGGCCTTAGCTATAAGCGGCTGCCACAACGTCAGCCTCGGCGATTGACAGCGACGACAGCAAGACTTACCCGACGAACGGGCCGAATCCTACCGGGCGGAGCCATCTTGCCTGATACCCGGCAGCCCGGGTTGTCGTGTCGGTAGTAGGCTTTGGCACGAGGGGTGTGCAATGGTCGAGCTGTGTCTTGGACGGCGAGGAATGTGGCTGCCTTTAATGGGTGGGGTCGGGCAGCGAGGCAGTCGAGGGCGGTCGGCATCAATAGATGGTTTGCGAGGGCCGCCGAGCTGGACTTGGAGATGGACACTCCCAAGGACTCGGGCACCTCTGTCGGGTCGTCGAAGAGGACACTGGTCTGTTTCTACGCGTGGACGCGGTGGTCGAAGCTTGGTGAGCTTCTGGCGGAACCCTGCGAGTTGCCCCTCGAGGCCGGGGTTAGTGTGGCTACAGAAAAGTCGAGTTTGGGGTACCTTGGATTTGCGGGTCAGTCTTCCCCAGTTCTGAACCATCAATTGCTTGCCGAGACAACCCCAGGTTCTGGGGATATAACCCCGTGAAATAGTGATAGACTTGATTAAAGTTTCTGGTTGCCTAGTCTGAGGAAAGAGCGTCGGATGAAATGTCCTTGAATCGTTGCTGCAGGAGAGAACAACTGACTTCGTTTTAATGTCCAGCCTCTTATCGCTATCGACGCTAATTCCTTATCGATAAGAAATTTGAAAGCTTGCCAGCGGCAACGTCCGGACAATGACGCGCGCAACACCAAAGCTCTCATCACCACTTTCCGGACTCCCGCTAACATCCACCGTTTGCATCGTCACAATGCCTTCCGCCGCGCGACTCCTCCCAGCCGCACCAAGGCTTCTCGCCAAATTCCCCTCTTCAACACACTCAATAAACAGGCTATCCCGCGCCGCGACGCGTCCTCGTCCATTCCTCCCATCTCGACCACCAATACATCCGGCTTCCGTCCGCTTCCAGCACACCATCCCTCGACCGCCCACCCGAACTGCCCAAAACCCTTCCTCCTCAGAATCATCAGAACAAAAACCCAGCCCACCGCCGCAATACGAACTGACATTCACCTGCCGCCCCTGCAACCACCGCTCCCGCCACCGCGTCTCCAAGCACGGCTACCACCACGGTTCGGTGCTGGTAACCTGCCCGTCGTGCAAGAACCGTCACGTGATAAGCGACCACCTGCGCATTTTTGGTGATGCAAAAGTTACCATCGAGGACATCCTGCGCGAGCGGGGCCAGTCGATCCGCAAGGGGACGCTGGGTTCATCCGACGACGGGGAGGAGGATTTTGAGTTCTGGGAGGATGGGGAGGTTGTGGTGCGGCAGAGGGATCACGAGGAGGAGCATATAAAGCCGAGGGAAAAGAAGGAAGGGGATGACGCGCCGCCTGGTGCGACTTTTAAGAGTGTGCGGCCTGGGGATGGGGAGAAGAAGACTGGTGAGGAGTCATGAAGGGGGTGACGTGTATACACTATATTGCATCGAAGGCTGGACGGCGTTCAAAATCTCCCGACTAAATCTCTGTACCAACTACGGATAGACTGTGTTTATGTAGAAAGCTAATACGGCACACTCCCCCCCCTAACCCCCTCCCCTGCGTATGGCCAACCTAAACTGACCAAACCCCAGCTTAACGATGTCTGCTATAACCCTCTCGTCTCCCAGTCTTCTGGTCTGCCGGTAAGTTCAACCACTCGAGCTGACACAGTCCCCGTTGGATGATCCTGTTCTCAAACGACAGGGCTGAGGCCTTGTCCTTGTGCCAAGCCCGAGCAGATGGGCATATAGACGGCTGGTTGGTAACATAGCGACCAAGGCAGCTCCTTGAGCAAGATCGGGCAGGTTAGAGCAGGTGACGTATACCCCATGCGCTC